TATCAGCAGATAGCCAAGGTCAATGACCTTTGATCTTGTAAAAGAGAAAGTCTACTAATAAATTTCTTTTGAAATCACTTTAATAACGAGGTCGTATAAAGGGTTCACTTTAATAACAAGGTCGTATAATGGGTTCACTTTAATAACGAGGTCGTATAAAGGGTTCACTTTAATAACGAGGTCGTATAAAGGGTTCACTTTAATAACGAGGTCGTATAAAGGGTTCACTTTAATAACGAGGTCGTATAAAGGGTTCACTTTAAGAACGAGGTTGTATAAAGGGTTCACTTTCATAACGAGGTCGTATAAAGGGTTCACTTTAATAACGAGGTCGTATAAAGGGTTCACTTTAATAACGAGGTCGTATAAAGGGTTCACTTTAATAACGAGGTCGTATAAAGGGTTCACTTTATTAACTAGGTCGTATAAAGGGTTCACTTTAATAACGAGGTTGTATAAAGGGTTCACTTTAATAACGAGGTCGTATAAAGGGTTCACTTTATTAACGAGGTCGTATAAAGGGTTCACTTTAATAATGAGGTCGTATAAAGGGTTCACTTTATTAATGAGGTCGTATAAAGGGTTCACTTTAATAATGAGGTCGTATAAAGGGTTCACCTTAATAACAAGGTCGTATAAATGTTTCACTTTAATAACGAGGTCGTATAAAGGGTTCACTTTAATAACGAGGTCATATAAAGGGTTCACTTTATTAACGAGGTCGTAACAAGGGTTCATTTTAATAACGAGGTCATATAAAGGGTTCACTTTAATAAGGAGGTCGTATAAAGAGTTCACTTTATTAACGAGGTTGTATAAAGGGTTCACTTTATTAACGAGGTCGTATAGAGGGTTCACTTTAATAACGAGGTCGTATAAAGGGATCACTTTAATAACGAGGTCGTATAAAGGGTTCACTTTAATAACGAGGTCGTATAAAGGGTTCACTTTCATAACGAGGTTGTATGAAGGGTTCACTTTAATAACGAGGTCGTATAAAGGGTTCACTTTGATACCCCTATTAGAAGGGTCAACTGACATTGACCTTTGTATAGATATTCAGGTGATTCCTTGTAGAGTTATTAGAGTCAATTTTTCAGTACAGTGTTGATATTTGGAGTTGAAGTGACTTTCTTATGGAAGTACTCATCTTGGCATGTATTTTGGGGGTGGCAGGGGAGGCAGTGGGTGTAGTCTTATATGGGGGCAGGGGGTATTAGATTCCAATGCCCCAGCCTCAGATCAAGGAGGACATCTCACCCTCATTCCTTGTCTGCAACTACCCCCGACCACCTCTCCCCTGACCAATTCCATTTATGCATTAAACACCATACACCATTGCCTCTCCGGATGTATTACTGGGCCCCACCGAACAATCAACTCTGGCTACTCTGGTCTGATTCAATTCCGTAAAAAAATATTAGGAGAAAGTTAGAACACACCTGGTTATTATTATGACACTAATAATGAACAATTCATCTCTTGATATGTTTTTCAATTAACAATGAAAGATGTAAAGCAAGAATACCAATTAGACATCCCTAATTATGTGGATACTCAAAGGGTGATGCAGAGTTGACACACCCAGTTGCAGAGTGATCAGGTGTTCCATTAGAAACAAGGCCCTGACTTTCTAAGTACACAAATAGATTACAAAAACACCTCTACTTTCTATTTATATAAGTATTAGTATTTTCATGAATGAAAATACGGGAACCCATCTTTAATTTGTAAGATTGAGGACCAGGTGAAACCCACATAAAAATAAACAGAACTAAATCCAGCTTCAACAGATTCAGACTTTTTATATTGTTGGTTATTTTTCTAAATGTCTATGTAAATCTTAAGAACACAAGATATATAGATATACTACTTCTAAGTTTATTACATATTACATTTAGAAACACATAAAGCTAACGTTATCAAGTAAAATGATTAACAACTTTGTGTTTGGAAACGTAATAAACCTAGAAGTAGTATATCTATATATCTTGTGTCTATACATGTAATGTTTATCTTCCTACTTCTATATGTCTTACAAATCTTTTATCTTTGTAAATCTTTTACTCAAGATCTATTTTTATAGTTAAAGCAATATACATTATGGTGTATGGTGGTTAATGCATAATTGGAATTGAAAAGACTACACCCACTGGGCAAATAAGTGAAAGTAGAGGTGTTCTAATGACTTTGAAAAATACCAGTTTGTCTCACATGTCCATAATTTATTCCTTATCAGCTAAATTAGAAAATAATTACCAGCAGAATTCTAAGGAGTGACCGACCAAGAAAGGTTAACCAGTTTCTTTTTGTTTATCCAGACTGAACATACATGGGCATTTATGATTGGTTAAAACTTAATTATATGTAATAAGGACATAAAGATATGATTAAGAAATCATGATAATTAATTAGAAACACCAATTGATTAAATAGTTTGCTCAATTTAACAATGGAAAAATAAGGAATCCTATCTTTAAAGTTGTCGTAAAATATAGACACTGACAAATAGCTTAAATTTTCGGGATATTGACAAATGCAAAAATGAAATAAACACTTGGGACCATGTGAGTGTTAAATAGGTTAGAATGGAAGTCAATTTAACTAATACATATTAGTTTTAACAATGTGGTCTGTAGTCTTGAAAACAGTAGTTACATACCATTAGTCATGATTGATTCTTATTTTACATATTCTGCTAGCCAGGCCAGGTAACAAGTGACAAGGTAGCTTGTCAGACAAGGTAACAAGTGACAAGATAGCTTGTTGGGCAAGGTAACAAGTGAAAAGATAGCTTGTCAGACAAGGTTACAAGTGACAAGATAGCTTGTTGTGCAAGGTAACAAGTGAAAAGATAGCTTGTCAGACAAGGTTACAAGTGAAAAGATAGCTTGACAGACAAGGTAACAAGTGAAAAGATAGCTTGCCAGACAAGGTAACAAGTGAACAGATAGCTTATCAGACAAGGTAACAAGTGAACAGATAGCTTATCAGACAAGATAACAAGTGAAGAGATGGCTTATCAGACAAGGTAACAAGTGAACAGATAGCTTGTCAGGCAAGGTAACAAGTGAAAGATAGCTTGTCAGGCAAGGTAACAAGTGAACAGATAGCTTGTCAGGCAAGGTAACAAGTGAAAAAATAGCTTGTCAGACAAGGTAAAAAGTAAACAGATAGCTTGTTCAGACAAGATAACACGTGAAGAGATAGCTTATCAGTCAAGGTAACAAGTGAAACAGATAGCTTGTCAGACAAGGTAACAAGTGAAGAGATAGCTTATCAGACAAGGTAACAAGTGAACAGATAGCTTGTCAGACAAGGTAAAAATGAAAAAATAGCTTATCAGACAAGATAACAAGTGAACAGATAGCTTATCAGACAAGATAACAAGTGAAGAGATAGCTTATCAGACAAGGTAACAAGTGAACAGATAGCTTGTCAGGCAAGGTAACAAGTGAAAAAATAGCTTATCAGACAAGGTAACAAGTGAACAGATAGCTTATCAGACAAGATAACAAGTGAAGAGATAGCGTATCAGTCAAGGTAACAAGTGAAACAGATAGCTTGTCAGACAAGGTTACAAGTGAACAGATAGCTTATCAGACAAGGTAACAAGTGAACAGATAGCTTGTCAGACAAGGTAACAAGCGAAAAGATATCTTGTCAGACAAGGTAACAAGTGGAAAGATAGCTTGTCAGGCAAGGTAACAAGTGACAAGATAGCTTATCAGACAAGGTAACAAGTGACAAGATAGCATGTCAGACAAGGTAACAAGTGGAAAGATAGCTTGTCAGGCAAGGTAACAAGCGAAAAGATATCTTGTCAGACAAGGTAACAAGCGAAAAGATAGCTTGTCAGACAAGATAACAAGAGAAGAGATAGCTTCAGTCAAGGTAACAAGTGAAACAGATAGCTTGTCAGACAAGGTAACAAGTGAAACAGATAGCTTGTCAGACAAGGTAACAAGTGGACAGATAGCTTGTCAGACAAGGTAACAAGCGAAAAGATATCTTGTCAGACAAGGTAACAAGCGAAAAGATAGCTTGTCAGACAAGGTAACAAGCAAAAAGATATCTTGTCAGACAAGATAACAAGTGAAGAGATAGCTTATCAGTCAAGGTAACAAGTGAAGAGATAGCTTATCAGACAAGGTAACAAGTGAAGAGATAGCTTATCATACAAGGTAACAAGTGAACAGATAGCTTGTCAGACAAGGTAACAAGTGAAACGATAGCTTGACAGACAAGGTAACAAGTGGAGTGATAGCTCATCAGTCAAGGTAACAAGTGAAACCGATAGCTTGTCAGACAAGGTAACAAGTGAGGAGATAGCTTATCAGACAAGGTAACAAGTGAAGTGATAGCTTATCAGACAAGGTAACAAGTGAACAGATAACTTGTCAGACAAGGTAACAAGTGAAACGATAGCTTGACAGACAAGGTAACAAGTGAAGAGATAGCTTATCAGACAAGGTAACAAGCGAAAAGATATCTTGTCAGACAAGGTAACAAGTGAAGAGATAGCTTATCAGACAAGGTAACAAGTGACAAGATAGCTTATCAGACAAGGTAACAAGTGACAAGATAGCTTGTCAGACAAGGTAACAAGTGGAAAGATAGCTTGTCAGACAAAGTAACAAGTGGAAAGATATCTGGTCAGGCAAGGTAACAAGTGGAAAGATAGCTTGTCAGGCAAGGTAACAAGTGACAAGATAGCTTGTCAGACAAGGTAACAAGTGGAAAGATAGCTTATCAGACAAGGTAACAAGTGAAGAGATAGCTTATCAGACAAGGTAACAAGTGAAGAGATAGCTTACCAGACAAGGTAACAAGTGAACAGATAGCTTATCAGACAAAGTAACAAGTGAAACAGATAGCTTGTCAGGCAAGGTAACAAGATATCTTGTCAGACAAGGTAACAAGTGAAGCGATATCTTGTCAGATAAGGTAACAAGTGGAAAGATAGCTTACCAGGTAAGGTAACATACTCTGAATTACGTATCTTTTTTTTCAGACAGATGGAAAATGAACAGCCAAAAAGTTGTAGGAATTTATGTATAGAAATCCTAAGTTGATTGGGTAAATCAGAGGTCATCGGGTTAGGTCAATAGCTCATTAGCATGAATGTTCAAGAGGACCGCCGTTAGACCTTAATTATAGTGGTTATTAAAAATAAAAAGCCAATAAAAACGTTCGAAAGTTTTGACTAATTTTAACAAGATCGACTTACTTAGTGTTATCCTTAATTATTTCAGTTATCTGTATTACATATTATAAAGACCAGAGAACACTGATCGAAATGTCGCTAAAATAAAGTTAGTAATTGTAATCCATAAGAATTTTTTCATTATATCCAACACCTTTACTAAATGCCATTTTATAATCACCTGTATTACATTTGGTAACGTAGCAAAGGGAGCTCTCGTGGGTGGTGAGGTTATTGTTGGTGGTGCCTTGATTCTTGATATTAGTCTGAAACTGACTCTTACCTAGTCTCTGATAGATATTATACTAGTCTGAAACTAGCTGACTCTTACCTAGTCTCTGATAGATATTATACTAGTCTGAAACTAGCTGACTCTTACCTAGTCTCTGATAGATATTATACTAGTCTGAAACTAGCTGACTCTTACCTAGTCTCTGATAGTTATTATACTAGTCTGAAACTAACTGACTCTTACCTAGTCTCTGATAGATATTATACTAGTCTGAAACTAGCTGACTCTTACCTAGTCTCTGATAGTTATTATACTAGTCTGAAACTAGCTGACTCTTACCTAGTCTCTGATAGATATTATACTAGTCTGAAACTAGCTGACTCTTACCTAGTCTCTGATAGTTATTATACTAGTCTGAAACTAGCTGACTCTTACCTAGTCTCTGATAGTTATTATACTAGTCTGAAGCTAGCTGACTCTTACCTTGTCTCTGATAGTTATTATACTAGTCTGAAACTAGCTGACTCTTACCTAGTCTCTGATAGATATTATACTAGTCTGAAACTAGCTGACTCTTACCTAGTCTCTGATAGTTATTATACTAGTCTGAAACTAGCTGACTCTTACCTAGTCTCTGATAGATTTTATACTAGTCTGAAACTAGCTGACTCTCACCTAGTCTCTGATAGTTATTATACTAGTCTGAAACTAGCTGACTCTTACCTAGTCTCTGATAGTTATTATACTAGTCTGAAACTAGCTGACTCTTACCTAGTCTCTGAAAGGTATTATACTAGTCTGAAACTAGCTGACTCTTACCTAGTCTCTAATAGTTATTATACTAGTCTGAAACTAACTGACTCTTACCTAGTCTCTGATAGATATTATACTAGTCTTAACTTACTGTCTCTTACCTGGTCTCTGATAGATATTATACTAGTCTGAAACTATCTGACTCTTACCTAGTCCCTGATAGATATTATACTAGTCTGAAACTGACTGTCTCTTACCTAGTCTCTGATAGATATTACACTAGTCTGAAACTAGCTAATTCTTACCTAGTCTCTGATAGATATTATACTAGTCTGAAACTAGCTGTCTCTTACCTAGTCTCTGATAGATATTATACTAGTCTGAAACTAACTGACTCTTACCTAGTCTCTGATAGATATTATACTAGTCTGAACTTACTGACTCTTACCTATC